TCTCAAATCCCCGAAATAATTGAGTATTTCCTTTTCTTAGTAAACAACAATCTCCAAAACCTTTCAGGTGCGTTCATGATCTCGTAGTAGAAGACTGAGAAATTCAAAGCCAAACCCAATCTGATAGGATGTGTAGGAGGCAGTTTAGCCTCAGCAGCAGTAGTAGCAATCTGTAAAGAAAACAAAGAAAAACTCCAAAGTAAAGCGAAGAAAACCGAGAACATCGAGTGATCAATAACACTATAAATCACCTCATAGGCTTTCAAAGACTGATCAGCAGCCTCTTTCCTATCATTTCCTGATTTGAATTCCGCGAGATAGCGGTAATAATCACCTTTCCTGCAAAGAACCAAACAAATCTTCATACACATAACTTCAACCATTAAAGATTTAACATCAAGTAAGGACCATTATTACTAGCTTACATCTTGTTGAAGAAGACAGTTGATTCGCCCTCGGAAGCTGAAGGAATCAGATGTTCATCTAACACAGACATTATATCAATGCATATGTTTGAAAGCTCTAACTCAACTTTCTCCATATACTCTTTGATCCTCTTTACATTAACTTCATTCCCTTTCACTGCTTCTTTCTGTTCGATCGACGAGAAAATCCTCCACGAAGCTCTCCTCGCACCGATCACGTTCTTGTATCCAACGGAAAGCAAGTTCCTTTCTTCCACAGTTAGATCAACGTTCAATTTCGCAACATTCTTCATCGATTCCACCATTTCTGTGACCAAAAGATCACAACTTTTTCAATACCCATCTGAAAAAAAAAATCCCAATTCGGAAATAATCCCCTCTCATACAATTACTTCCAGAGATTAAAAAAAACCCTCAAAAATTCAGTACAATTAAACATAGAATCGAGCTAAGAACATGACAAAAGAAGACATGGTTACGAGAAATTCACAGAGATTGAAGAAAGAAGATTCCTTTATTACCTTCATAGCGCTCAGCTTGTTCAGAAAGCTTAGCGAGGTAGACGAAAGTATCACGCTCTTTCGAAGAATCCATGATCGATTTTTTCGAGATTTTTACAAATCAAAGACCAAAGCTTTTATTCGACTGATTCGGGACTGTCTCTCGACGAAAGAAAGAACACAGAGAGAGAGATCTTTGAGCCGCGAGTAAGGGACAAAACCGTAAATTAACGCAGGTTTAACGGGGTGAATGGTCAGTGTCAGAAAGTGATTTTATGTGTTTATATTATTCGTTGTGGGATCCACTTATTCTTAGCTGTCCAATTATATTATGACATGTCATCACTCCTATCTACAAGTCCACTCATTTTAATAGTACTTTATCTTCCCATGATAAATAAATATTTTCTCAAATAATCAGTAGACAGAGAATTGGATTAATCTTCTTCCATCCCAAATTCATATATTAATAAACACATTTATCAGTGGAAAATTGAAAATTAGGAATTAGAATGTAACTTTTCAAGGTTTTAGGGTTTATTAATTTGATTATAAAGTTTAGTTTTGCTATTAATTGAAATAAAGGTTATATATATCTTTCTAATTTGTTAATTAGAACTAAAATGTAATTTGATTTCAAAGGTTTGGAGTTTAGAACAAGTTTTAGATTATTGTATACAATATATCGCTTCTCGTAACTTTTAACATAGATTATTAAAGCAATGTTAGAGAAATGTATTAATAAAAGATACGATAGACAAATTAAAATAATTCTTAAAACTTTATTTGAAAATGAAAGAGAGTATTCACATTTTAGAACAAAAATAAATTTCCAATTTCTTTAAGAAATATATTTCATAGAACGATAAGAAAACACAAGAATATTATCGTACTCATACAAAAGCGTACGGAAGGGGTCAAGAGAGATTATCATCACAAGATAGAATAAGCATAATACATAGAGCATAGGTTTAGGGAATGGTACAAAGACGGTTTAACCGGTGTTTTGCATACCGGCGGCTATACCCTTCATGGTGAGGATAACGGTATCTTCAAGTCCCGGTGCGTACTCGCTCTTTGGATTCAGCTTAACGAGCTCAGCAGCGGGTTTACTAGACTCCATGTAGTCCTTGGACAGGTGTGGCCGGACTTTGACGTGGAAGCTCGGGTCACGGATCTGCTTGAGCGTGTAGGCTTGGCACACGTTCAATGTCGTAATGTATGGGTCACGTAGCTGCAGCCTCTGTCTCAAGTAAGGGTCGCCTTCTAGAATGTCTTTGTGACCCGCTACCTGGAAAAGGAAATAAACACACGGGTTAGTTAGCGTATAGAGCGGTTTGTCCCCACCGCTCGTGGTTTTACTTGTAAGTCCTTACCTGGAGGAGGAGGCGTCTGGTTTCTAGGTAGTTAACTCGAAGCTGTTCACCAAACGGTTGAAGTTCTTCAGAGACGAGGAGGCGGTCGTACAGAGCAGCAATCCCAGGGTCTCCTTTGGCGAAAACCATTTCGACTAGATCAATTGTGACACGGAAGAATGGCCACTGGTTGTACATCTCTTTGAGCATGTTGAGATTCTTCCCGTCCTTCTGGATCACGCGGTTGAATGCGGCACCAAAGCCTAGCCACACCGGTAAGTGAAACCTCGTCTGAGTCCATGCAAAGATCCACGGAATTGCACGTAGTGATTCAATTCCTCCGCTCGGTTTACGCTTCGATGGTCGGCTTCCTATGTTCATCCTTCCATACTCAAGCTCCGGTGTCGCCTATAACACAAACCCAAACTCGAATTTTCGAACTTTTTAACAACAAACTGCTAAAGAAAGAATAAGTGAGTTGGTTAAGAACTTACCAGACGGAAGTACTCGACAAAACGGGGCTCCTTGAAGACAACAGAACGGTATTCTTCAGTGGCAATTACAGCCATTTCATCCATGAGTACTCGCCACTCAGGTTTAGGGGAAACTGGTGGATGCATTCCGTGCTCGAGTGTAGCAGCCGTGAAACGCTGAAGAGTCCTAAAGCATAAGTGCTCTTCTCCGAAAGACTGCTCGATAACTTCACCTTGAACTGTTACCCTCAATTGCCCATGAATGGTATCCGGAGGCTGAGACAAGATAGCAAGATGAGTCGGTCCACCTCCTCTCCCCACAGTCCCACCTCTCCCGTGAAACATTGTCAGCTTGACTCCATATTCTTTCGCAACCTTCACGAGCTCTTCTTGAGTCTTGTATAACTGCCAAGCTGCAGATAAACGGCCAGCATCTTTGCCTGAGTCGGAATACCCAATCATGACTTCTTGCTTACCGTTGATTCGGTTTCTATACCATTCTATCGAGAAGAGACGGGCAACTGAAGCGGGAGCAGATTCTAAATCTGCTAGCTTCTCAAACAGCGGAACAACTCTCAGAGGATGAGCGATCCTGCATTCACGTTGCAAGAGCTCAACAGCGAGCACATCTGACGGAGCAGTGGCCATTGAGATTATATAAGCACCAAAACTATCTGAAGGAAGCTCTGAAATGACTTTGAAAGTGTCCAATACATCCGCAATTTCTTCGGTTTTGGGTAGATCCGGTCCAAAGAGAGGACGTTTTCCGCTTAGCTCAGATAAGAGCCACTCCTGTCTTTTATCCTCTGACCATTCTTTGTAAGATCCAATACCCAAGTGTTGCGTGATAGCGTCCAAGACATCGGTATGTCTGTCAGATTCTTGACGGATATCAAGTTTCACAAGCGCAAGCCCAAATGTAGACACTTGGCGCAAGAAATCGAGAAGGCTTCCATCAGCAATAGGTCTGTCACCGCAATCACAGAGCGACCTGTAACAAAGCTCAAGGGGCTCCAGAAACTTTGGAGG